CCAGAGGTTGTGAGAGCAACTCAAAACTTGTTACAGTAATCCAAGCCAAAAAAAACTGGACAGTGGTCTGAACCAAGATAGCAGCAGTGGAAATAAAAAGGAAATTGGATAGATATATTTGTGCAATAGTTCAGACACAGTGTCAATTAGATTTGATGGCTGCCTGGAGGTGGAGAGTGAAGAAAAGTGAGAAAGCAAGGATGTCTGAGACAAATGGCAAATAGTGGTACCATCGACTGAGACTGGAAACTCTGGAGGAGGCCCAGCATTTAAAAAACGGAGGAAGATGAAGAACCTAATGTCAGATATATTCAGCTGAGATATTTGAAGATATCTAAGTGGAGATGTCTAATTGGAGTTCAGGAGACATCGCCACAAGATTCTGGAGTCATCAGTACATAAATGGTAACTGAAATCGTGGGAGTGGATGTCAACTCACTCAGAAAAAAAACATGTAGAATGAGAAAAGAAGGTTTAAAGCCTGAGGGATACAATCATTTAGCGGGTGTGTTGAGAAAGAGGTATCAGCAATGGAGACCACAGAGAAACAGCCAGAAAGATAACAGGATAAATGGAGTGTGATGCACGGAAGCCAAAGGGAGCGGGAGGAGCCAAGTCCTGCCGAGCGTCCACTAGATGTGCCTGCCCAGGGAGGTTGGAAGTCGCCCCTTTCTCCAGGGTCCTCCATCGTGATGCAGCCCCTGTCATGCAGATCCTTTGGCAGCAGCCACACCACATTGTTGGCCATACTAGGTGTCACGGGTTTCATTGGGTCTCCCCAAAAGACGTGTTCAAGTTCTAACCCCCTAGTACCTGTGAATGTGATCTTATTTGAAAACAGGGTCTTCGTAGACATAATCGAGTTAAGATAAGGTTATACTGGAGCAGGGTGGGCCCTAATCCAATGACTGATGCCCTTATAACAAAAAGGAAATTTGGGTACAGAGACATAGACGCACAGGGAAGACGGCCACGTGAAGACGGCAGCAGAATTGGAGTAATGCTGCCACGAACCAAAGAACTCCAAAGATTGCTGGCAGGCACCGGAAACTCAAAGAGGCAAGGACCCTTCCCTAGAACCCTCAGAAAGAGCGGGGCCCTGTGCCACCTTGAGTTTGAACTTCTGGCCTCCAGGACTTGAGAGAGTACGTTTCTGTTGTTGTAAGCGCCCTAGTTTCTGGTCGTTTTTTACAGTAGCCCTGGAAAATGAGCACCCTAGGATCAGCTAAAATCCCATGTCTTTCTTATTTGAACTATGACAAAGTTATCTCATTCTATTCTGCATTGCACAATGAAGTTTTTTAAATTAAATGTATGACTTCTGCTCATTCATATCTGCTTTACTCTTAGATATTTGGGGCAATCAACACAATTTTTGATAAACTTGGCTTCTATACCTCTGTCCAGGTTAATAGAACATGAAACATGGTAGGCCAAGGCTACAGCACCTCGGTATCGATCAAGGTCCCTCTCCCAGCTGGAAATGGCAGGCAGCTATGTCTTATCCACAAATTGATGCCTTGATGGAATCCAGATACATCGAGTCTACTGGAAGTCCATATCTATCAGACCAGTGACCATATGAAACAAGTAGCTTGTCTAGACCAGAATGACCTTGAATCTGCCTTCTCCACTCAAGGCAGGCACTGGGAAAGAGGATCTGTTCATTTGGTTGAGTGAACCTGAATTTCTCTACCCCTGGCAGTCTGACCCACTGACTATGCTACCGGTTCTGTCTTGCCTTAGCCTTTAGATTTGAGGTACTTTGTCTCCCAGCCGTGACTTGAGGCTCCCCTGAAAACTGACTCTGAACCCACACCTACAGACTCCTCTGTCTCAGCTGTCCCCCTAAGCACAATTCTGACAAAGGGCTTTTGCAGCCTTAAAGGCGGGACCTAAACAGTGAACCTTTACTAGATCCTTGTGACTGTTGCCCTCTCTTCTACCTGCTTGGCCACCACTGGTTTAACAATCTGTCACTCCCCTCCACTCCTAAGGTCAGCAGTGGGGAGCCTTTGACGCAGACACTGGCAGTGGGTGGGAGACTGAGAAAGGAAAGAGGCACACATGTCAGGAACAGCATATGTCACAGGAGCTGAAGCTGGTTAAGAAGGAGACGGGACAAGTGAAACTCCACGTTTATTGCCAGAAACCCAAGCTTTGTGTGAAATCTTGAATTCATAGAGAAGAGGAAGGCGGGACAGGGAAGTTCCTGACCGACATCTCCCTTGGGCCACGGCGGCCCCATGACTCGGGTATGTTTATCTGATGGTTGATTTTGCTGCACTGAGTTCTCCCTCTGCCTCCCTTCTCTTATTATTTCATAACACATGTAACCCTCTTCTCTCTCCCCTCCTTTTCCCATGGGAAAATACTAAGAATGAATAAAGTCATATTAATACTGTGAAACAAATAAATAATCCATCACTCCAGAATCACAGCATCTTTATTCCTGTATCCTGAATCAAATGGCTTTGCTGTCCACAATCTCTTTGCTAGATAAAGAGTCAGCACCTTCTCTCAAGCCAGAAAGGAAAATGCTGAATGATTTTTTTTTTTCAGATTTCCCAAAAGTTACTTAGGACATTGGGGTGAGTTAGACAGAAATGATTAGAACTAGAGAGTCAGCTTTATCCTGGCGCATGTTAGCTGAGGGGACACTAGCTGCTGTAACAGATACACCCCAAAACCTCAGCGACTTCACACAGCAGAAGTTTGTTTCTCACTCATGGAAAGAAGGCGCATGGAGGGGCTGCGGTGAGATGCAGGCGAGAACTCTGCTCTGCACAGTCACTCCTGCTGACCAAAGCTCTGAGCTGCAGTCACGCCTCAGGGCCAGGACGGACCCCCACACCCAAAATGCAGTTTAGATGGCTAGAATGATGATGCCCCACACGCACACCAGGCGGGCAGGGAAAGGTTTAACTCAGATAATGAGGCTTTCTGGGGGTAGCAGGGCAGGTTTCTAAGCAGCTCTAAAACTGGCTTGAGAGAGGGCTGGCCCCGTGGCTGAGTGGTTAAGTTCGCGCGCTCCGCTGCAGGCGGCCCAGTGTTTCGTCGGTTTGAATCCCGGGCGTGGACATGGCACTGCTCGTCAGACCACGCTGAGGCAGCGTCCCACATGCCACAACTAGAGCAACGTACAACGAAGAATACACAACTATGTACCGGGGGGCTTTGGGGAGAAAAAGGAAAAAATAAAATCTTTAAAAAAAAAAAACTGGCTTGAGAGAGAGAGCAAGAAGGGGTGACTGGCTTGGAGTCTTATGATAGTTAGGTGCTGGGGCTTGGGAAAGGATTCCCAGGCACAGGCTGAGACTGCCTGATTTGAACTTCTTGCCAATGCCCAAGGAGGGCACACTCAAGCTTTCTTGTCAGTTTTGTGGGGCAGAAGAGGAAAGGGGAATACTGGGCTTGAAGGCTGTCAGCAGCCAAACATCAAAAACGGAGCCAAACGTGAAGGACATACATTAACGTACAACTGAAATGTCACGAGATTGTAACCTATCATTAACTCAATTAAAAATAAACGGAGCCAAACTCCTAATTACACTTTGCTGTCAGCAACTCATGGCTTCCATAGTTGTCCACACGTAGTCGTCCTGCATATCAACATGCAGACAGAAGACAAGGAAAATGGAGGCTTGTATGGGAGGTTTGAATAGGTCAGGCCTGGGAACAGTGGGTTTACGCCTTCGGCCCACATTCCATTGGTTAGAACCAAGTCACGGAGGGGCTGGAAAAGGTAGTCCCTGGCTGGGTAGCCACTTCCCAGAAAAACTATGGAAGGGGGCAGGAATCTTTAGCTTATAGCTAGCCTTGTCTGCCACCGTGGAATGCAAGCAGCAATGGATCTAGGTTTTGTGGGGCCCAAAGCTTGAATAGTTTGGAGGCTGTCTTTAAGAAAAAATAAATTAAAAAATTACAGATACCAAATTGGAAAAGGGTCCGTGCAAGTCAGGGCTCTATGCTGAAGCTTCCTGAGCTTCACAGTAAAAGTCCCAGGATGGCCCAGGGCCACCATGAACAAACAGAGACGACAGGTACGTGGCTTCTGACACGGCTACAGAACCTCTTCCTGAGAGGGAGTAAACTCTGGGATTGGTGACTTAAGCTACAGAGGTCACAGAACTCTAGTCTAGAACCCAGGAAAACAACAGCAAACGTGCTATGAGAAATGGGAAAAATAATATTATGTATTTTCTGTTCGTGAAAACAGATAAAATCCTACCTCTTTGCAACCACAATACACAAAGAAATTACATCCTGTTGGTTTTTGCTCTATATGTCGCTATTCAGGGGTTTGGGGCAGTGGTAGTTTTTAAGTAAAAGGTTCGTAGGCCTGAAGCATGAAAAATATTATTTGGTGCTCTCTGATTTCAGAAAGTTTGAGAAGCACCAGCATCCCTTCGTAGGCCTCCAGCCCCTGAGACTGTGTGAGTCAGGGATGCCCCTAGAATGCCCATCGCTCAACCTGCTCTCTGATGTGCCTGGGTTGGGGGGCATGTGAAACAAACCAGAGGAGCTAGGACCCCATAAGAATTGTGACACCTCACTTTCCCTGCAGGCCACGGTTGACTGTGGCCCAGCATTGCCCTTAGGACGGCTCATTTGAGGAGCAGTCAGACGAGACCCTGGACGACAGGCGGGCTTCCGTGTCTGGGCTTCAGCTCCTGGGCAAGAGCTTTTGGGCACACACTTCTCTCCTTTCCTTCCCATTTTTATTTTCGTTTTTCCTTGATTTTCTTATTTATTTTTATTCAGCTATGTTGTACCACATTGAATACACTTTTGGAAGCTCATATTTGGGGAAAAGTGGCATAAAAATAAAATACTAAACACAAATAGGAAATAAAGTAAAATAACAACAGAAAATTTTTTTACATGATGTCACCACTGAGTCTAGACAGACGCTAGGTCATTAAAAGGACTTCTCAGGGCATCTTTTAATCCTCAGCTTCATCCATCCACTATTTGATATTTACTGAGAGTCCCCTATGCATTGGCTTTCCCACAGGTGACATGTGGTCCTTGGTGTCATCATGTACATCCTGTGAGTATGCTGGGGAGCCACCCGGGAGGGGCCAGGGCTGGACTGGGCTTGGCTGGGTGGAGGCCTGTACTTCTCCAGGAGGAGAGGAAGAGGCAGAGGTTAGCATTCTCCTCTGGGTGGGGGAGTCCCTGGGAATCCCCTGCTAACACGGCTTAGCAGATTCTGATAGCTAAGTGATGGGTACAGACTAGCTAACGGGCAGGAAAATGTGCCATGTAGATACTCGGTATGCTGGATTCCCGGGCCCTGCCCTCGACTTACTATATTGTGCCTGAGTCAACGAGTCCCGATTTCTCTGTGACCTTTACAAGAAGAAGCCTGTTTCTCACTCTGTTCCTGGTGCAGGGCCCCAAAATAACACCAGCTCTGTCCCTCTCTTCCTGCTTCCTCTCGGCTCAGGCTGTGTGGGTATCCCCCCTTCTATTCCAACCACGGCCTTGCCATCTCTCCGGGCATGAAGAGTCGCATCCGAATGGGCCAGTATGAATTTCCCAACCCTGAATGGTCAGAAGTATCAGAGGAAGGTAAGGAGCCCAGTGAGCATGCCTGTGTGTGCGTGTGCGCGCTCCCTCGTGTCCCTGTGGGCATCCGTCTCACGTGGGAGGTGTAGTTATGGGTTTGCTCCTGTGCCCACACCTTCTGGTATGCCCTGCCTGTGTGAAGGGCCTGGTGTGGGCCAGGCGCACGGGCTGTGTAGGCCCTGCCAGGCGGTGTAGCCATGATGGGCCTCAGGGCCATCTCCTTAGGCGGTCTGCCTCCACGCGACCCCCCTTGAAACCTGGTTTCTCCCCGAAAACTGTGGGAAGAAACAGGGGAGGAGAGTGGCTCCTGAGCTGGCTCTGTCTCCTGCCCCACCCCCACAGTGAAGATGCTCATCCGGAACCTGCTGAAAACAGAGCCCACTCAGAGGATGACCATCACGGAGTTCATGAACCCACCCCTGGATCATGGTGAGCCTGGCAGGCTGGAGAGACCTGGCTGCCTGGGACTGTCCCTTGGGACGGGGGCTTCGCCAGGACTCTGCCCTGCCCCAGGCTTTCACCTGGGCCCCTTTTCTCTCCCCTCAGCAATCAACGAAGGTCCCTCAAACCCCACTGCACACCAGCCGCGTCCTGAAGGAGGACAAGGAGCGGTGGGAGGATGTCAAGGTGAGGGGAACCGCTGCCCGGAGGGGCTGGGGAGGCGGCTCGTGGGGGCGCCCAGGTGTGAGCAGGGGTGCTGGCCGGGGAGGGTTTGGTTCTGCATCCTCTCATGCCAGGAGATGGCCGTCACAACAGCAACAGTGACTCTGAGCCACTTCCCTGGCCAGGTTGTGGGCAGAGGATTCTGTGTTCCCGTCTAAACTGGGCCGTGGCTGTTTCCTCCCAGCCCTCTACTTCCTGGGTCTCTAAAGGGACCTGAGAGGCCATCTGGTCCCATCTCATTTTGCAGATGAGGAAACTGAGGCTCAGAGAGGGGGAGTGACCTGTTCACGGTCACACAGCTAGTGACTGGCTGAGGCCGCCAGAGCCCAGGTCTCCTGACTCCTGGTCCGGGGCTTGCATGAGTTCACCCTGCTCCAAGGGCAGTGTTTCAGCCTGCCCCTCAGGGCTGCACAGTCCGTAAGAGATGTGTCTGCCACAGCCCCTGCCCAGCCTGCTGCGACGTCAGGTTGAGGACTGAGATGGGTTGGAATGTTTAGTGCGGTTACTGCCACAGGACCCATCAGGGCAGGACAAGAGGAAATGGAACAGCAGCAGGAGGGACTGGGGTTGGACGGGGGAAGCCTTCCCCTCTGTCAGGGAAGGAGGAGTTCTCTCAAGTGACAGGAGAGCTCAGAGGATCAGGGTGCCAGCTAACCTCCTCCAGGAGGCCTTCCTGCGTCTCGTCAATCTCTGGCACTGCTCCTGGCCTGAGCACGTGCTGCGGCCTCTACTGTACCCTTTGGCACTCTCCCTAAGGCGCCTCGCAGTGCTCTCCACGGAACTGCCCAGTCAGGGAGGCACGGGCACTGCCTTGTGCATCTTCAGTCTCTGCAGTGAGTGCTGGATGCTACTAGGTTCCCGCCAACATCAACAAATATTGGAGGGCCTACTGTGCGCCAGGTGCTGGGGATGTATCAGTGAAGAAAGCAGACACGAATTCCTGCCCTTGTGCAGCTTACACCCCAGTCATAGACAAGTTACACAGACTGTTAGAAGTTGATCAGATCTACGGGGAAAAAAATAAGTCGGGTAGCTTTGTGTAGGTACATTATACTTCAGTAAGAACGGTTTCTAAAAATAAAGCCATGAAGGGGAATAGAGAGTGCCCAGAGAGAGGACTCGGAGGTGGGAGGAAGATGGCAGTTTGAAATAGAGCAATAACAGTAGGCGTCATTGAAAAAGTGACACATGAACAAAACTGAAAGGAAATGAGTAGTGCAGGCATCTGAAGGAGGAGCGTCCCATCCTGGGGGCCTGGGGAGGGGTCCACAATGCCCCACGCTCCAGCCTCTAGCCCTTCAGGTCCACGAATGCTGTAGGCCCTACGCTGCGGCTCAGCTACTGACGAGGGGTCTTGGCCCCTTCCACAGCCTTCTTCTTGCCTTTGGGAGGTGCTCTAAGTCGGCTGTAAACTTCTGCGGAATATCAGGGCCCTCCACTGCACAGGACTGTTTGCTAGGTACTCATAAATCTGCAAAGTGGGGAGAATAATACCACTCCCTCATAGGGTTGTTGAAGGTCAAAAGTCCAAAAGGGAAGAGAAATTCACAAAGGAGAAAAGGGGTCTCTGAACCGAGCCAGGAGCTTCCCTCACTGGGCTTTCATTCTCCGTGTGCCGGGAACCTGGCTAACGGTTTGCAATGATTAGCTATTTAACAGTTACAAAACACTATGATGAAGATGCTTTTCTACTAACGGAAAGCTGAGGCTTACAGAAGTTGAGGGGCTTGAGCTGGCAGGTGGAAGAGCCAGAATGTGACCTGGATCCGTCGGAGTCCAGGGTTCCGCCTGCACCGCCCCACACAGCCTCTCCTGCGTGACTCAAGCCGCGTTTTCTTTGCTGGTGTGAGCAGGAAGAACCAGAGTCTAAAACTCAGACTAGACACGGTGGCTCTCACGTTTCCTCCCAGCTAAGCTCGGCAGCCTCCTTCGCTGGGATACAACCCAGTGGTTTTCTTTGCCGAATTCTTACATGAGAAGAGAACAATACCCCAGAGTCAGGGGCCTGATTAATTCTGGCAACTGTGGGAGGCGAGGGACGGGGAGACATTCTTAGAACTGGGCCAAGCTGGGGCTGGCGGGCTCCACTTTCAGCTCATTCTAGAGATAATGGGCACAGGAGTTTTGAGAGAAACCTCGTGACTCACCCTCACTTCTCATGGCCCCTGTTTCACTAGAAGGCGCACTGTCTTCCCATCATCCTCCCTTGGCCCCCAACTCTGCCCGGCTGCCAACACCCCCCAGTGACCCACCCAGCAAGTGCCTGTCCCTGCACCAGTGGGGTCCTCTCCACCAGGGTGAGGACCCACAGACCCAGCGGCCTGGGCATCGCTGGAGCAGCCCCCACAGCCACCTCCTTTCCCAGCCAGAGCCTCACAACGTAGGCAGCCTTACCCAGGCAGAGGGACCCAGCCAGCCTCGGACCCCACAGGACAACCACCACTGTCGTACAAGGGCACGTGGGAGGAGCGGGGCCACGGGGGACAGAAAACTCGGGAGAAAAACGGAGCAGGGAAGGGGCGGGAAGACACAAGATTCCCAAACCCAAACTCTCCTTTCTAGTTATTCAACCTGTTCACACCGGCACAATAAGACCACCTACTATGATAAATGATAACAGTGAGTGCTGACTATGGGCCAGGCATTACACTCAAGCCTTTACAGGATTTCTCACCTGTTCCTTGCAACAGTCCTATGAGGTGGGTGATATTATTGTGTTAGTCTGGGTCCTCTGAGAAGAAGATGCCAGAAGGGGATTGAACATGCAAGGGTTTTATTAGGGGAAATGTCTTTAGGAGAGAAAACGGTGGTGGGGTGGGGGGGAGCCAAGGCAGGCTGGGAGAGCCATCAGACCTTGTCTGACCCCATTGAGGGGGAACCAAGACAAGGTTGGGTGCAGGCGTCCTAGACTCCTGTGTAGCCTCAGGAAGGTCAGGCGGTCACCCAGGAATCCTTGGGCCAAACTGGACAGTCACTGGATTCCTGCTCCCCCAGGAACCGTGTGCCTTAGCATCGCTGCTGTGTCCAGGCCCTGGCAGGGGCAGGCGGAGGGAAGCATGGCCTCAGTCCAGGTGCTGAGCACAGCAGCTGGGGCCTTTGGACAATTACGCTGTAATTGGAGGTCTATGAGGCACATTCTCATAGTTAATAAGTAATTATTACTATAAATATTATTAATAATTATTGTGGTGTGCCACAATTATTACCCCATTGTACTGGTTGATAAACTGAGGCTCAGTGAGGTCAAATCACCTGCTCATGGTTTGAACCCAGTTTACTATAACTCCAAAGCTTTCTCCTGTGCAGCGTGCGTCTGAGCTCTTGACCACCACATCACAAGCCTGATTCCTCAGACTCCATAATCAGCAGAGGGCTGGCACTCCATCAGTTTCCCACAAAGGGTTTCTTGGGGTAATGTGGTTCAGTGCCTGTAAATAAGGAAAAGTACTTACAAGTCTCCTGTACCCCCATACCACCTAGGACCCTGAGCCAATGCCACTTCCCCCACCATGTGCCTTTCTTTCCCCCAGGGAGATCCCTCTGGTAACCTCTGGGAGGGCCTCATGTCACAGTCACTTGCACACCGCTGTCTCCTGGGCGTTCCCCCCAGGCACACTTGTTTCGCAGTCTGAGAGGCATCAGGTAACCTGCTCAAGGCCAAACACCAGTAGGAGGCTGAACGCGGGGGAACTTCAGCTGAGCCATTCTGCCTACACACCCAAAACGTATGCAAATAACCATAATCGAGTGAGCACAGCCGCTCATCTGGGAGAAGCTGAAGGAATCCCCTTGCTCCCTCCAGATCAGATTTTTCCAGTCGCCCACGATGTGACCAAGGGTATCCATCCATCAGTTTTGAGAAGTGCTTCGAACCTCCTCTTACTCTCAGCTGACTTATCCTGTCCTCAGATTGCCCACTGCTGACAGCAAATCCTTTCACGGACCTCTCATTCAGAAAGCAGTATGCAAAGTGCATTCATTCATAAGTTGACACTACCAAAACCTACAGTATATATCCCCTTTGATCTAGCTATTTCACGTCTAGGAATCTGTCCTACAGGAATCCCTACACATGCGCACAAAGATATTGTACAAGATGTTCGCAGCATTTATAGTAAAAAAAAAAAGAAAAAAAAACTGGAAACAAACAAAATGCCCATCAGCAGCAGATAAATTATGGCACATCTATACTATGGAATACTCTGCAGCTGTGAAAAAGTGTGCCGGTTCTACGAGTTCAGCCATGGACCCTCCCTGTGCGATATGAAGTTGCAGGTTGATTAACGGGTAGGAAAAAGTTCTGGAGATTGGTTGCACAACAATGTGAATATACTTAACACTAATGAACTCTATACTTAAAAATGGTTAAGATGGTAAATTTTGTTATGTGTGCTTCACCACAATGTTTTTAAAAAGCACGTTGCCGAATAGGGGCCGGCCCCACGGCCCAGTGGTTAAGTTCGAGAGCTCCGCTTCGGCGGCCCAGGGTTTCACCGGTTCGAATCCTGGGCGCGGACAGGGCACCGTTCATCAGGCCACGCTGAGGTGGCATCCCACGTGCCACAACTAGAAGGACTCACAACTAAAAATACACAACTATGTACCGGGGGGCTCTGGGGAGAAAAAGGAAAAATAAAGTCTTAAAAACAAAAGCGTGTTGCAGAATAGTATGTCTAATGAATCCATTTATATTTATAACCTCCAAAGACATTCCTCACCTGTGTTTATAAGCATATATGTATGTGGATAAATTAACAGCAATTTTTTGTAAGGCTGGATAAAATCTAAATAAAATCACACTGTTAAAAGAAGTTCTTTCTGGAGGGGCAGCTGGCATAGCTGGACGAGGAGAGGTTATGAAGAGGAATGTTGGCATTTCACTCTGTACGTATACGTGATTGTATGTGTACATAAGTTCTTTGATCTTTCAGTTACTGAAATCACATGTTAACTGTTCTTTAGATGCACCCATCCATCCACCAGACACCGAGCACCCACAGTGAGCCCACCGCAGTTTTCAGAAGCTGGAATAAGCAGATCGGACTGGGTTTCTCGTCCACCCTTTGCCTCTTCCTTGCCGGCCGGCTCAGAGAATGGCCTGCCCTGTCTGTCCCCTTCCCCTCCTGCCCTCGTCCCCGCTGTGCGTGGGCTGAGAGGTAGGGTTAGAGTCTGA